GTCATTTTTTTTTTTTTTAGTCCTTTTATTCTATAAACATTAAGTATATACTCAGTCATTCTTAGATACTGGCAGTATTTAACACTGCCAAACCTCTTCCTCCACGTGTCCCAACTATCCTCTCAAGCTCCATGTGTCCCAAACTTAACTCCTTGTCTTCTACCTCCTACCCATACCTCTTCCTGTATCCCTGTTTGCAAGTGAGTATACCAAAAGCACAGTTCTAGATCTATGGGATACAAATAGAATTGAGATGCAAATAGCACAAGTTACTACTATATGCTATTGTTTTTTGAACTGCCAAAATACCTTTCTCTCAGGTGTTTTCAAGGTGTGACTTCAGTGCACCAGTCTTACATTATCTCCCAATACTCTCAGACTCATCAGTAGAACCTCTTGAATCCCCATATCGCTTTCATATTTTCCCAGTTTGTTGAAAAATTCCCCTTTTAGACCTTTATATGCCTTTATTACTTATCCTTCAGGATTCAGTTTATATGGTAATTCAGGAGCCTTCTGGTTGCTTCAAAGAATAAGAGTTCTTTCTTTGGGGGCCCCTGGGTGGCTCAGTGGGTTAAAGCCTCTGCCTTTGGCTCAGGTCATGATCCCAGGGTCCTGGGATCGAGCCCCGCATCAGGCTCTCTGTGAAGCAGGGAGCCTTCTTCCCTTCCTCTCTCTCTGCCTGCCTCTCTGCCTACTTGTGATCTCTGTCTGTCAAATAAATAAATAAAATCTTAAAAAAAAAAATAAAACTTCTTTCTTTGAATCTGTGTGGCATTTTTATTTTACCTCTTATGGACAGAATTATTTGTTTATATGTCTTTTCCTCACCCCTTGCTCAGTACCTAAACATAATGTGTGCTCTACTGAATGAAATAACTTGTGCTACTGTAGACTGAAGACAGGATATATTGCACAGAGGAAAGAATTAGACTGAGGCAGGCATAGAATTTGGAGAGCAAAGGAAAGGAGATGGAAATGTGTGAGTAATGGAATTATGTGCACCAGGCACAGATTGCTAATTTTTAAAGAATTGGGATGCAAATTTTTAAAAAAAATTTTAAGTTAAACTTTTCTTTGATAATTGGAATGATACTTAACATTAGAGTGCTTTTAAAGACCCATTATGGAAATTACTGTCAATGAAAAAAAAAGCCATTTGGTTTATTTTCATTTTCTACTTGTTGGGTTATTGGGGTTCTGCTTTTCCAATCATTTTTCTCCTGCCTCATGGTTGTAGCAAACAAGATCTCCTTTGAAAGAAATCTTGATTTAATGGGAAGAGCACTGTATTTGGATGGTAGAAGATGGGTTCGAGTACCAGCACACCCAATCATATGGCTAAAATCAACCCTGCCTATTTCACAGGACTGTTTTGAAGATCAAATAAGGTGAAGTATTACGAAGATGCTTTGTGAATTATGTAACACTATATAAATGGGAGAAATGGCTGTTTCCTCATGTTTGCAGATCTAGGCTATAGGCATTGGAGGGACCCTTAAGAGAGCATCTAGTCTATGAGAAAGGCAGTATGGCATAGTGAAATGAATACAGCTTCTTATACTAGACTGACTTAGGTTGGAATTCTGCCTTTTGCCTTGAGCAAGATCTCTGATTTTTGATCTGACACATGGGGATCATAGTAGCTACAGAGATTGTGAGGATTAAATAAAACAATGTGTATAAATAGTCGAGTGCATAGCAGGTGCTTAGTAAATACCAAAATCTCCTCCCTTGTTAACTTTCCCCTTTCAGACTAGGAGTCCCTATCTCTCTTTCTTTTTTTTTTTTTTTTTAAGATTTTATTTATTTATTTGGCAGACAGAGATTACAAGTAGACAGAGATGCAGACAGAGAGAGAGGAAGGGAAGAAGGCTCCCCATTGAGCAGAGAGCCCGATTTAGGGCTTGATCCCAGGACCCCGGGATCATGACCTGAGCCGAAGGCAGAGGCTTTAACCCACTGAGCCACCCAGGCGCCCCTGGGAGTCCCTATCTCTTAAGTATAATCTCTTGCCTTGGAATTCTGGAGGTTGATCTCTTCTGGAAGAGCAGAAGTAAGGAAGGAACACCCATCCATTCTTGGTTTACACTGGTCTAATGCGTTGGCCCTTCCTGCCTAAGGTGCCCTAACAGTAGGCGCAGTTGCCCCAAGAGACTTTCGGAATCAGCCATTATAGAAAGAGCCTGGAGTTGCTGGTGCGTGGTCTGACCAGAGTCTATGTAAGGGTAAGGCTCAAGAAAAACAGCTGTCCAAGGCCCCCACAGTGTGCTCTCTATCTGAGCATTTGCAGGGGTCTGCCACAATTTCCTGGCTCCTGGGTTAGTCCCCAAGTAAAGGTTATTAGAGCATGAGGTCTGGGTTAGCTCTAGACACAAACCACAGGTAAGACAGGCTTCAGCCGTCTTCTAAGAAGACAGGGCCTCTGTGCTGCTGTTGGCTTTTACTCCAGTTGGCTACCTCAAATTCCAGCCACAGTTATTCCTCCCCTGTTGACTCTTGCCAAACAATCCCTACTAGTCTGGAAGTCTGAACCACTAACTCACTATCATAAGACCTACTTTCCCTTTGTTCTTTCCAACTATTCCAAATTCTTCCTTCATACTGTTAACCCTACCAACTACATTGCACTGCTAAATCTAGTAATTCTGTGGATCCCAGAGCCCATAAACCCCTTAACTTCTCACAGATCTTCCCAAGCAGTATGTTCTGGCAGAAAAACATGGTGGTAAGTCCCAGATCTCCATTTTTGTGTTTGGACAAGTTACTTAATCTTCCTAGTGTGTTCAAGTCTGTAGAATGGTTTAAAAAGACTTCAAGGGTTGTAATACTAATAAAATGAGATAATGTAGGCAAATCATATGGCCTCGAGTCTGATAGTAAGAATTCAGCAAATCTTGAACTGATTCCCTACTCTTTACTAGATGTGCCTGAGTTTGCCTGCAGTGCTCGCTACCCTAAATCTTTTTTTAGGCTCCACAATCAATAGGCAAACCAGCAAGACAATAAATAAAACACAACCTTCTTTTCTCTGTTCTTTCCCCCTTTCTTCCCCACCTTAATTCTTTTTCCTTTTCTATGCTGTCATTTTCTTCCCTTTATATATTTTTTTCTTTTGTATGTGTGAATGTGGGTCCTTTTATTTCTTTTCTGCTTCTCCTACCATACCTTAGCCTCAGGGTCAGGGAGCAATTAAGGAAATATTTTCACTATGATAGATCAGAAAATACAAGAGGTCAAGAAATAGAAGTATTCTAGGGATGCCTGGGTGGCTCAGTTGGTTAAGCATCTGCCTTTGGCTTGGGTCATGATCCCAAGGTCCTGGGATTGAGCCCCATGCTGGCTCCCTGCTCAGTGTGGAGCCTGGTCCCTCTCCCTCTGCTCCTTCACCCCTGCTTGTGCTCTCTCCCCTCTCTCCCCCTCTCTCTCTCTCTCAAATAGAAGGATGAAATCTTTAAAAAAAGAAAAGAAAAGAAAAGAAAAAATAGAAGTATTTTAGAATGGAACCAAGCTTCATGCCCTCAGCATTGGAAAATGCATTATTTATATAGATCTAAACCACTGTAAGCTAGGTAAAAATTGGGGGAAAGAACTCCCTAACCTATCCTTAATATGGCCAGCCCACCCTTTGCTTCCTTCGTATCTTACTGGTCTGTTTTCACAGTGATGGGCTCCCAGGCCAAAACCCAGGACTGTGCCAGGCAAACCCTTTTGGGTTTCCAAGAGTAGAAGGAGAATAGGCAGTGGGAAGAGAAACCATAGGCTGGTAGAAAGAGGAATGAATTATGAGAAGTGGCAAATTGGAGCTCCCTGGTCTAGAGACCTTTGATGGAATCACTCTTCTTTCTCTTTCCCTATTTCTCTCTTTACGAAATGAAAATAATTCTCACTTACCTGTCTCATGAGATGATTAGGTAGATCAAATACAGAAGTGCTTGTAAAATGTGAAGCAGGTAAACTGCTACTTAAATGAAATGTATCATTATTTAGTTATTCAATTACAAAACCACCTATTTCTTAACATCAATGGCTAGGCCTTGGAGAACGTAAAGTATTAGGCAAAACTCAAAAGTCAGAGAGTATTTTTAGGATTATGGGTCGGATGGGTCTTCAGACAGTGGACCTAGAATTGGCTGCAAGGAGGCTAGGGTCAGGCTGCTGAAAGGTGCAGAGGGACAGTAACAATATCAAGATGACTTAATCCCTTTGGTGTGCCCCAAACTTGCTTTCTATGTGTGTCACCAAGGTAAGGACTGAAGCAGCTCAAATGCTCCATGAGCAGGAGGAAGCTGTGGGATGATGGGGAGGGTCCCCACAAAGTCTGGAGCCTCGTCAGCATCGGAAACCACAGGAAACCAGGTCAGTGCGTGGGGCCTGCTCCTTCGGCTCCAGGGCTCAGCTATGCGCTCTGGGGCTTCCTGAGCACACTGTACTGATTAGAGGATCCTTGAAGCTGGAGACCCCTTTGACATGGAGCCCTTTGTCCAGAAGAGCTGGGTGGGAAGAGAAAGCTGGGCTATATAGTGTTGAGGGTCAGCTAGGTGGGGAGTAGTATGTGTATGGGGGCATGTGAGGTTTACGTTCATCCTCCAGTGACCTTTTGTTCTGTTCAACTCTAAATGGTGCCTCAGTCATCTCTGTCTCCAGACTCCATTGCAGAATAGTGCTTAATAGTTGTTAATTCTCTAAGTGAGGGGATAAAGCCCATCTCCAAGTTAGCTCCAAGTCCAAGAGCATTAGTGGGCGGGTCAAATCTACAGGGTGTTGCGGGAGTAGGAGGGGTTAAGAAGTGGGGACAGCCCTCCATCCCCTTAACCCTGCGCTGGCCTCTTTCCTGTTATTTCTCTGCCAGAGCAGGAGCCCCTTGCCCTCCAGGGGAGCAGTAGGGTTTTCTGGGGGGTGGGGGGGGGGAGGGGGTTGTGGCAACCGTCCTTCTGTCCCTCCGCTAGGAGAAGGAATGTGGCCTGGCTGGCTGGTTAGGATCTAGGATCGAGGAGGAGCTTTGGGGCAGGGTGGGGCAGGGGCTGGCAGGGGCGAAGACTCGGGCTCCCTGCACTCCCTGGGGCTGCACAGCAAGGGCCTGCTGCCCACCTTCAGGCTGTGCAGCCATGGTCTGGGTGCTCTGACCCCACGGGAGCCCATGGGGAGCCCCAGGTTGGCAGCTCCACTCCTGCTTCTCCTCCTGCTGTTCATTGGGCTCTCTGCCTCCGCCAGGATTGGCTGCCCCTACCTGCCCCGCTGGAGCACCCGCTGTCTGCTGGCCTCCCACATGGTAAGGTAATCCTGCGGCTGCCCAGTAGGGACCTCTCCCTGCCACAGACTGGTAAAGCTCCCCACTTTTCTGCCTGTCCTCTCATGTCTCCCAAGTCCCTGGGCTTTGCTTGCAGCCCCAGTGTGTCCTCTATATGGTCTTGCAGGGGTAGCCAAGGTTCTGGAGTGCTGAGGGCCTGGGCAGGGTTGAGCTGGGAAGACAAGAGCCAGAGTGGATGGGCTATTGGGATATGGGCCTTGGAATTAGGTGATTTGAGGCAAAGACCCCAGGGAGAATGCCCCCCTGGCCCACCATAGGAATCCCTACTAATAATTCTTCTCTTCTTTCTTGCCCCTGCTGGGCACTGTGTCTTCAGGAAGACACTTTCACTGGTGAGTCTCATTCCCTGCCCTGCTTCTCTTCTGTGTCCCTTTTGTTCCAGATCCCTAGGGAGCTTTCCATTCAAATTTTTGTCTCCCAACTTGGGAAGTTAGCATATCAAGGAGAAAACACAGGGTTTAGAATCAGGGCAAGCCTGGATTTGCATTGCAATTCCACCACATACTCCACAAGTGGCCACAGGCAGTGCCCTTAGCCCCTCTGACTCCCTGTTTCTGAGGGCCAGTTTCTGAGGGGTAGGGCAGGGTGGTAGAAATGATTGTAGGATGAAAGCTGCTGCCCCTGAGCTGTGGGAGGATTAAAGGAGAGACACAGGATAACCTCCAGGCACTCCCTTTAACTATTCCTTCACTCCTGTCAGTGCCACAACAACGATCTTTCATATCTAATAGTATCTGGTTTACGTATCATTTTCCCACACGTTATCTCACCTGATCTTGACAACAGTCCTACTTTATGAACGAGGAAGCTAAGGCTTAGAGAAGTCCATAAATTGCCCAAAGCCACACATCTCAGCCTCCAGTCCACCCTGTCTGAGGCAGGAGGGGCTTCCTGGGACCCTACCATTTGATTTACTTTTTATCTTTACCAGGAAGGTCTGCTCGTATTCCTTGCCATACCCAGCTGGCCCTTGCTGTGTCCACAAGGCCTCAGTGTGCTCAGCTCTGGCTCTGCCACTATTTGTGCCTGCATCTGGTGTCAGATCCTCCAGGTATGAGAAACAGCCCTTTGGGCTGTTCTCAGTGGAAATGTGAATTAGGGTGTTTGGGGGATGCCCAGGCCGAGGAAAGTGGGACTTATCATGTCTCTCCTATTGTCGACCTCAACAGAGACAGATCATTCTAAAATAGCATACCACAACGGATGTTTATGGGTCAGTTGTATCATTTTGTGAAGGTGTTTCTCCTTTCCACTGGTACCAATGCTTGAGATTAAATTGTTTTAATTCTGCGAGTTTACTAGTATTACCTTCTATTTGCAAAGTAAGATCTTTCTTTTTCTCTGTATTTTCATTGCCTAGTTCAGTGCCCGGCACTTACTAAATGCCCAAACACTGGTTAAGAATTCACAGTTTCTAATTTTACACTGTTTTAAATAATGCTACAATGGATATTTTTGCATATATATATATACACACACACACACACACACATATACGTGTGTGTGTGTGTGTGTGTGTGTATGACTTTTTATCTACTTAAGAAATTAATCCTTTTTGACTATATCATAACTTTCAGGACTAAAGAAGCTTGATACAATTACCCTCCATGATTTGAAATGACTTACTATCTAAAATCAGGCCACATTTCCAGGCAGCAGAGGGGCAGTGAAGGGCTGGATAGTAAATATGTCCTTTCCTGCACAGGCCTCCAGGGGGGCTGTTTCCACCTCCTGGTGCAGAAATACAAAAAGTCATGTAAGTTCCGGTTCTGTAGGAGACACAAGATGCCAGCATCTGCTCAGGTACTCCCCCTGCCAGTTCCAGCTCTGCCCTACGCCCCACAGCGCTTTTGTTCCCATCCTCTCCTTTGTACTCTAATCACGTGGTGATGGAAGGATAGAAAGCGTGATGATGAAGTGGACTGTTCTGTCCATTACACACTTAGGGAAACCAAGCCCTAAAGATTGAATGACTTGCCTGTGGGGCCCCAGGTTCCAGAAGCAGCAACAAAAGCCTGATTCCTGGCCCAAGGCCAACCATGTTCTCTGCCTACAGAAGAAGCTGCTGAGTGGCTGTTGCCTGTCTGGGAAGGGTCATCACATCGCTGTCCCCTCCCCAGACATCTCTCACAAGGGGTTGCGCACTAAAAGGACCCAACCTTCAGATCCGAAGGCATTGGAAGGTCTCCCCAGACCCAGCTCACAAAGGCATGAAGGTAAGTGTGGGGTGTGACCAGAGATGGGTGCAGCCAAGTATTGGTGCGTGTACCCAAGCCAAGAGACAAGGGGTCCCCCTTCTCCCCAGGGCCTGAGTTCTCCTTTGATTTGCTGCCTGAGGCACGGGCTATTCAAGTAACCATCCCTCCGGGACCTGAGGTCAGCGTGCGTCTTTGTCACCAGTGGGTACTAGAATGTGAGGAGCTGAGCAGTCCCTTCGACACGCAGGTATGGAATATTGTCTCCCTTCAAAAAGCCAGATCACATAGTTCTGGAGCAAAAAAGATCTCCCCATTGTATACATGGGGAGACTGAGGCCCAGAGAGGGATAGTCATTGTCTAGGACCTCCCTACAAGTCTGAAGTACCTAGCATTTAAGCCTTCTTTGGATTAGACAGAAAGTGCAGGGGTCCCTGTCAGCTGGGAGGAGAGGAAGGCAAAGGGCAAATAGAGACTTGGAGCAACCATGAATGCCCAGCAGAGAAATGAATACAGCATGTATCCCCAGCGAGAAGACCCTCAGCGAGATTCAGTTTGCATTAAGAAGGCTTTTCAGTTCCCTCCAAGAAGTGGTTACATCTTTCTTGGTACCCTTCCATCTCCCTCCTTTTGCTGCTGCCCCTCAGAGAATGAGATGTTCCTCATTTCCCCAGCCCGGGCCTCCTATCCCCCTTCAAACTCCAGTTGCTGTAGATGCCCTAGTATACGGTTGGTACCATTTGTGGGACTGAAGCTGTACCTCTGAGGCCCTCAGCTCTCTTCATTTCTCAAATGAGGATCACTGTGATGCTAGTGTTCAGTTCATTGAGTTAATGCTTCTAGCACCTAGCACCCTCCCTGGCATACAGCAGAGGCTCAAAAAATGTTTAATCCTCTCCTTATTTCCTCTCTGTCCCCACCTCATATACTGAGACACCTAGAGCAAACAGACTATAGAGCAGGGACAACCCCCCACCCCAAAAGGAAATTTCTCAGTGGAAGAAGTAAGTCTCAGATAAAAGGAAAAACAGGGTGTGTTGGCCAAGGTTTCAGCTTCCTACTGCCCTTGTCCAGGGTGCCTAAGCTCTTTCTCAGGCATTTCTTCTCTCCTTTTGCTGCTTTGTCAACAGAAAATTGTGTCTGGAGGCCACACTGTAGACCTGCCTTATGAATTTTTTCTGCCCTGTCTGTGCATAGAGGTGAGCAGAGGAAAAGGTCTGGGTTGTCCCCGGCTCCACTTCTAGGCCTCCCAGAGGCACAGTTGGTCAAGCGTATCTTTAGTGAGTCAGGTCTTAAAAAGACTGAGTGTTGATGAGAGGCTTGGGAAGATGGCTGCCAGCTTGACTGTGAGCCACCGAACAGAGGTATTTTGAGGCGGGGGGCGGGTGATTCCAACCTAAGTCCAACTAAACCCAGCTTTCCTGTTCAGACTGGCCTTAGCGCACAGAGATGGAATACACAGTTACCTTTACTGTGTGTTCTGAGGAGTCATGATGAGGACACATGGGGCCCCTGGCAGGTTCCATATGTCTTCAAAAGTCTTGTCACCATGAGCCTGCCCTGGCAGTTCTCTGCTCCTTACAAAGCTGAGGTGCCTAGCATTAAGACTTCTTTGGACTAGACAGAAAATGCAGGGGAACTTGTCGACCAGGAGGAGGCAAAAGGGGAGGTGCAGAAGGACACGTGGGGCAGGGAGCAGCTGCCGAGGTGGACAATCCCTGTTTGGGTGGTCCAGAGGGAGGGGTCCGTACAGGGCATTCTTTGGGAAGCCAGGAAAGCTAAAAGTGGAGGAATGTGAACTTCCCCTTTTTCTGGCGGGAGCATAGGTTCTCCTCTCCAGGGAGAAGAGGACTCAGCCTCCCAGGTTGTGATCTTACTCCTAGACTCCAGTCATGCCCCACTGACCATTGCCCATACCCTTCACTGCTTCTCCTCCTCCATGCCCCGCCAGCTCGTGCAGCCGGCATCAGGGCAAGGTCAAGCCAGGAGTTCCATGTCTGAGTGATAGAGGAGAAGCCGTTCCTATGACCCTCCCTGACTGTTCCATTGTCCCTCCAGGTATCCTACCTGCAAGAGGACACCGTGAGGCGCAAAAAATGTCCCTTCCAGAACTGGCCTGAAGCCTGTGAGTGCTGCATATGTGCATTCATAGCCCTCAGTGTCTTATACACACACACCACACATACGCACATACACAATTCACACCTATGTTGTGGAGGAAGCCCCCAGAAGGCATGCAGGCACTTTCCCTGGAGTTGGTAGTGGGAAAGGGTTAGTGTATCTACCATTCACCTCCCAACAAATCAGATTGAACATTGTGCTAGGCACTGTGAGAGCTTCAGAAGCGGGAGATCCAGGAGGTAGTGTCCTAAGAGGATGGGCCTGAAGTCCTGAGGTCACATCTCACTTATTCTTCTCTGAACCTTAATTTCTTCATCAGCAAAGTAGTGACACTTGCCCAGCCTTCCTTTCCAACTGTGGATGAGACTTACGTTCAATATTATATGTGAAAGTGGCTGGTGATGTCTGAAATGCTGTATGCATGTTGTCATCCCCAAATTAAAGAGACAGGAGCCTGAAACACAGCAAATGAATAGTGCAAAGCAGCCCAAAGCCCAGGGCACCTTTAGAACTGTGGACTAGGCTATAGGCCATGAACTCAGGAAAGGGAGAAGTCCATGAAGTCTGTCAAATCATAGGGTCTCTTACAGGAGGGGACACCTGAGCTGGGCTGAGAAAAGGGACAGTATTTCAAAAGGAGAGTAGCGAGGGGTACATCCCTGGTTCTGAGAGGAACCTAAGCAAAGATCTGCAGATTTTTAGTTTGGGGAGCAGCAGAGAACTGGTCAGAATGGAGGCACAGGCAGGAGATGAGACAACGAAGTAGAAATGGTCATAAAAGGTCCGGAGAAGGCATGCTTATTTTTTGGATAACCTAGACACGCCAGCAAACGTGCGGGGCATCTTCATAAAGTCATCCCCTGGTGCCCCCAGGGATGGGGATACAAAGCGAGGCTGAGGCCAAAGCAGGGCCCAGGCCTCGGCGGGCCTCACTCTCTGCCCCTGCCTGCCGCATGCCCAGATGGTTCGGACTTCTGGAAGTCAGTGCACTTTACTGACTACAGCCAGCACAGTCAGATGGTCATGGCCCTGACCCTCCGCTGCCCACTGAAGCTGGAGGCCTCCCTCTGCCAGAAGTGGGGCTGGAATACCCTCTGTGAAGACCTCCCCAATGCCACGGCTCGGGAGTCAGAGGGGGTGAGCCAGCCACCCCCTGCCCCGGGACTTGAGTGGGCAGGGCTGGGGCCCAGGGCCCTGCTCCCTGACTAACTCTCTTCTCCTACCACAGTGGTATGTCTTGGAGGGAATAGACCTGCATCCCCAGCTTTGCTTCAAGGTACAAGCGTGGGGGACAGTGGATGGGGAGGGGTATGGATGGTGCCTGGAGCTTGCTGACTTGCCATTCTTGGATTTCTCAGTTCTCATTTGGAAATAGCAGCCATATTGAATGCCCCCACCAGACGGGTGAGCTGATAAGTGACCCTGGCTGGGACGCCCTTCCACCACTGAACCCTCACCCAACTGGGACTAAACCAGGCTCAAGCCCTGTTCTGACTTCTCTGGCAACCACAACCCAACTCCTATCGCCTCCTGCAAACAGAATGTCTCCCATGATACCCTTTCCCACCCTGGCAGCCCCATCCTGGAATGTGAGCATGGATACCCAGGCCCAGCAGCTGGTCCTTCACTTCTCCTCAAGGATACACGCCACCTTCAGTGCTGCCTGGAGCCACCCAAGCTTGGGGCAGGACAGCTTGGTGGCCCCTGTGTACAGCATCAGCCAGGTATGGCCCAGCCAGGGCTCCAGCCCTCTCCCCCCACCCCCACCGTCTTGTTGCTCAGAGCACAGCAAGTGGAGGCAGACAAATCTCTAACTTATATCATCTGGCTATTTATTTACTTGACCAGTCTTTGTTCAGCTGGTTCTTCAGTCAGTGGAGGGTTCATGGAGCAGTTTCTAATCCTTTTAGTTTCTGAACTTACCCCAGATAAAGTGGCAAGAGACCAGCGCGCCCACATCCAGCTGTCCTCTGACCACTCAGTCTGCTGCCACATTTTATACCAAGGCCCTCTCTTGGACCCAGCTGTCCTCTACCCCTGTTTGTCTCCACAAGACACTTGGCAGACGTTCCCTATCTTAGGAGGCAGAGCCCCTAGAATCTGAGGAGCTCTTCACAGAATACTGTGAACTACTGACAGATTCAATTTTATTATGTAAACTAGGAACAGTCTGACCAGCAGACTCTCTTCTGTGTATCTGATATAAAAACCACAATCATATATGTCCATCAAACCATAGCACCAATCTGACTAAGCATGACTAGCTCCTTCCAATTCTTAAACACTCATTTGTAGCTTGCTTATTTGTCTTGCATTCTATGAGGGCTCGCAAGCATATAGGTGGTAGCAAATGTTTAAAATTTGGGGCACCTGAGTGGCTCAGTCGTTGGGTATCTGCCTTCAGCTCAGGTCATATTCCCAGGGTCCTGGGATCGAGCCCCACATCAGGCTCTCTGCTCAGCGGGAAGCCTGCTTCTCTCTCCCACCCCCCTGCTTGTGTTCCCTCTCTCTCTGTCAAATAATTAATAAAATCTTAAAAGAAAAAATAAAGATAGCTGGGAGCTTCCCGGAGGAACATTACACTTTAAAAGAAAATGTTTAAAATTTAATACCGAGCCATGCTTAAGATTTAAGACCAAGTCCCATGGAATAACCTAAAATTGATAGCTAAATCCATGGACTCATTTGTTTCTGTGAGCTGGGGGAAGACCACCTTCATTGAGTTCAGCCATGATTTGAGCATCACTGTGTCAGTGGCTGCTGACAGCTGGCTGAAGGGTGGGGTCTGGGACAGGGGTGGTATGGGCGTTGGAGATAGAGGGAGTTCCGGAAGGATGGAGATGCTGGTCAACTCCCTAACCAACACCCAGAACATAGGGGGGAGCCGTATTCTGCCTGTATACAGATGGCAATCAGTTCTGTCCAATTTAGCATGCATTTATTGAATCCCTACTCTGTGCCTACCCTGTACTGGACCCTGGGAGATACAAGAAAAGTATATAACACAGTGTCTGCCCCTAAGGAATCCACAGTGTCCTAATAACTACTACTACTGAAGGAATTCACCCGGCACCATATATTGTAGGGGGTATTAACATGCATATTCCCATGGGATGCTCTCAATAACCCAGTAAAATAAAGATTATTAGTCCTCGTGTACAAATGAAGAAACTAAAGGTCAGGGAGGGAGGTAACCTATCTCCATGCAAAGATCACACAGCTAGGATCCACAAAGGCAATGGTTAAGCCTGGTTTTAGCTGTGGTCACTTCACAACTTAGGTTCTTTCCAGTGGACAAGCCATCCCTTCAGATGTGTGGGAGAGAAGGGAGGCAGGTTATATAGTTAGGTTCCTTGGTTTATGAGCTGCTGGAGGACAGAGACAACATCTGTGTCTTCTTTCCTCAGAGCTTGACACAAAGTAGACACCCAGAGCACGTTTGTTGATGAGTGCCTGATCGCCTGATTAATGTGTATCTGTGCAACAGTTCCGCTCTGGAAATAATCAGTGGGATGCTTGAGAATGAAGCAGGAGGAAGACTTCTTTTTTTTTTTTTTTAAGATTTTTAAAATTTATTTGTCAGAGAGAGAAGGAGAGCAAAAGAAGGGGGAGCAGCAGGCAGAGAGAGAAACAGACTCCCCTCTGAGCAAGGAGCCTGATGCGGGACTCGATACCAGGACTTTGGGATCATGACCTGAGCCAAAGGCAGACACTTAACCAAATGAGCCACCCAGGCATCCCAGGAGACTTCTTTCTTGTCAGCAGTGGCACTTGGCCTTAATCCTGGGTAGGATTTCTGTGGGGGTGGGAGGGTAGAAAGGAAGAAGAGTGTGGGCAAAGACTCAGACTGGACAGAGCCAGATTTGACACTATGGAAACATTCTGCTCTTTGTTCCCACAGACTCAGGGCTCAAGCCCAGTGACACTAGAGCTCATCATTCCCTTCCTGAAGCCAGGGAGCTGTGTCCTGGTAAGGAGTCCTGCCCTCACTCTGTGCATACTCCCCTAGCATCTACTCTACAGGGAGCTCATGGGGCAAATGCAGTCTGCAAAAATGTTTGATTTGGCCAGCCTGGTATTTGAAATTGGAATGAGTTGCTACCATTTAAATACTGGAGAAGTCATATTTTAAAAAGCTGATTTCTGGGATTGGGAGGGAGACAAACCATAAGTGACTCTTAATCTCACAAAACAAACAGGGTTGCTGGGGGGAGGGGGGTTGGGAGGGGGGGGTGGGGTTATGGACATTGGGGAGGGTATGTGCTATGGTGGGTGCTGTGAAGTGTGTAAACCCGGAGATTCACAGACCTGTAGCCCTGGGGAAAAATAAATATATGTTTATAAAAAATTTAAAAAAAAATAAAAAAACAATTAAATTTAACAAAACAAAACAAAAAAGAAGCTGATTTCTGCCTTTTCCTGGGAAGAATCATTCAGGCATGGTGACAATGGGCTTGAGCTCCATGGCATCTGATTATTTCATTCAGGGCCTCTGCCCTCCTGGTCCTCCTGGATGCCCTGGCCAGCTTCAAGTTTATTATTTGGGTTGCCACTCTTGACCTGTTGCGTGCCCAACCACAGTTGGACCAAACACAAACCCTGTGCTGCAGAAATTCCCTATACCCTTCTCTTGCCCTACTCAGCTTCCCCTGGGAGAAGGGGCTACCCTGTCTTACAGGGGTGGGGGCTCTCTGCCCTCAGGTGTGGAGGTCAGATGTTCAGTTTTCCTGGAAGCACCTCTTGTGTCCAGATGGTGAGTTCTTGGGAGAGAAGGGGTGGGGTTAGAAGAAGGTTGGACACGGAGGAGCCTGGCTTGGCCTCAACCTGCTTGACTCAGTCTCTCATAGACACCTGGGGCTCTTGATACTGGCACTGCTGGCCCTCATCACCCTATTGGGCATTGTTCTGGTCTTCACCCGCCGGCGTCCACTGTCAGGTAAGCTCACTCTGGGGTAACCTGAGGATTCAGATCTGCACAGAGCCTAAGCTAGTTGTCCCCCACCCTTCCCCTGCCTAGGCTCCCTTCCAGAAGAGCCATGGCCCTCTTGGTGCCCGGAGTTCTCGGCTACCCAAAGTGGTGAGCCTCAGGCCCCCTAGTGGTCAGGAATGGTTAAGGCAGAGCAAAGGTCCCTCTTTGCAGATGGTTCACTGTTAGTGGTCTCTGGGAAGAGACCGGTGGGGTGGAAATCCAGCCTGCGCTGCACCTGCCGAACCTTGCGCCCAAGACCCGACCCCTTCCGGGTGCTCTTATCTAATTAGCCCAATGACACCCTATAGGCTAACGTTGCCTTAGGTACTTACCCCCAGTGCAGATAAGGAACCAGGTGGGGCACTCGATGAGTTAGCCCCAAGGCAGGGAAAAGGAGAGTCAGGGTGGAGTAGGGGAGGGGAAGTTGCTGGGCTCTCCCTTAGCGGCCCACCCTTTCGCCTGCTACTCCCGCCCGCAGGCCCTGGCCGAGCGCGGCCGGTGTTGCTCCTGCACGTGGCCGACTCCGAGGCGCAGCGACGCCTGGTGGGAGCGCTGGCTGAACTGCTGCGGGCATCGCTGGGCGGCGGGCGCGACGTGATCGTGGACCTGTGGGAGGGGACGCGCGTGGCGCGCGTGGGCCCGCTGCCGTGGCTGTGGGCGGCACGCGCGCGCGTTGCGCAGGAGCGGGGCACCGTGCTGCTTCTGTGGAGCAGTGCGGGCCCCAGTCCAGCCCAAGGCCGGGATCCCCACTCCGCACCCCTGCGCGCCCTGCTCCGCGCCGCCCCGCGCCCGCTGCTGCTGCTTGCTTACTTCAGTCGCCTCTGTGCCAAGGGTGACATTCCCCCGCCCCTGCGCGACCTGCCACGCTACCGCCTCCTGCGCGACCTGCCACGCCTGCTGCGGGCTCTAGACGCTCAGCCTTCCACCGAAGCCGCCAGCGGAGGCTGCCTCGGGAATCGGCGGTGCCTGCGGGGTCGCCTGGAGCTGTGCCACCGGCTGGAACTCGAGGCCGCCAAATTTTGCCCACCGAGGCTGAGCAGAGACAGGCGTAGGGGTACTGGCTGGAACCCCTGAATGAGCCTTTTACCCTAAAATCCTTGGGGTGCTTCCTCAGGACTACTGGCCAAAAATTCTTACTGCTCTGTTTGCTGGCCTGGGAGTACAGCACCTCCCTCTCTGTCCCACCCCCTTCCTTAAGCGTCTGGCTTCTTCCTGGTATTTACCCTTTAGGAACCAGCAGGGAGAGTCGCTGTTTAATGAGGGCTCTAGTGACCCCAGTTCTGTTGCAGGTGGGGAACTCCTCACACTTCTTTTCTTCAAAATTGCAGAAAGAGCAGTCTGCACATGCTCCAGTCCAGGCTGGAGAGGTGTGGGACAGAAGTAGAGGAGGCAGGAGCCATGCCAATTCTGAGCGAGGGGTAACTCTATTGCGGGGGTGGGGGGAGTGGAGAAAAACCCTTTGTGAGGCAGGGATACTGCTTTCCCAGAAGTGAGCACTGCCCAGAGGATGGAGGGAGGGCGCCTGACCCAGGGAAAGAAGTTTTGGCCTTGGGTGTCCAGGGCAAAGGTGGGACAGTAGAAACCAAGATCAAAAGAAAATAAAGGCAAACATAATGGATAAGCTAAGAGACATGGTGTGCTTCTCTAGGGTGCCCAGGATACTGAGTTGGAGGAGGGGTCAGCACAGCCCTGCCTGGGGGTTATTATGCATCATTTGTGGGCTCAGATCTTCCATGTCCACACCCACAACCATATCCTTCACATTCTCACAAGCAAAGCCTCTGAACAGCCAAAAGAGGACCTGGAAATCTTGTTTTGTTTGTTCTAATTTTATTTATTTTATTTATTTGACCTAGAGAGAGAGACACACACACAGTGAGAGAGGGAACGCAAGCAGGGGAAGTGGGGGAGGAAGAAGCAGGCTTCCTGCTGAGCATGGAGCCCGATGTGGGCCCCGATTCCAGGACCCTGGGATCACAACCTGAGCTGAAGCCAGATGCTTAATGATTGAGCCACCCAGGTGCCCCAGGACCTGGAAATCTTTTTTTTTTTTTTTTAAGATTTTATTTATTTATTTGACAGAGAGAGATCACAAGTAGACGGAGAGGCAGGCAGAGAGAGAGAGAGGGAAGCAGGCTCCCTGCCGAGCAGAGAGCCCGATGCGGGACTCGATCCCAGGACCCTGAGATCATGACCCGAGCCGAAGGCAGAGGCTTAACCCACTGAGCCACCCAGGCGCCCCTGGAAATCTTAATCCTTACTGTGAACAGGTTCAGAAAGGTCCATCTATCATGCAACATGGCAACAGCACAAATGGGGCCCCTGTCTTCCTGGCTCTGAGTCCTGAGTTCCTTCCCACCCTTGAGCAGAGGCCAGGAAGGGATGAAAAGCCCACTTTCTGATGCCCTTTGTCCCTCCCTTTAGAGCTCCTGTCCCACAAAGGGTCACTGAGTCCCAAGGCAGATGTGTGAAGGGACCGGGGGTGCCCTGTATGAGGGGACCTAATGGGCAGCAAAATCCCAGATTCACGTGGGAAGTGGAGATGCCCTAGCATTGCCCAGGCCCTCTTCCTTAGGGAGTCCCAGGGTGAGTAAGCGCTCCCTTACTCAGCGGTGATGCCACCACCCTCTTCAGGGGCCCCTCCCAGCCAGGTGTCAGCAGAGAAGGAGGAGGATGAGAGAGGGAGAAAAGAGGAGGCCACCACCACCAGCCAAGGCTGCTGGCTCCCAGGCCTGGTGTTGGTGGGAGGGACAGGGCGGGGCGGGAACAGTCAGCTGCCTGCCGGGAGCCAAACCGAAAGGAAAGCACTCCCGGCTGGACTGGGACAGGATTCAGGGCTCCCAGGAGAGGGAGTGCTCAAGACAGCACTGGGACCCCAGGCTGAAGAGGGATTCTGGCCCCTAGTGCCCACAGGCTTGGGGCTGATTAGGAACGGAGGTACGGTGTCTGCCCCCCCCTTGGGGGGGCAGGACAGGGCCTTGGGCCTTGGTGCCTCCTGGTACATGGAAGATGCCTGTGCCTTGGTTCCTGTTGTCCTTGGCACTGGGCCGAAGCCCCATGGTCCTCTCTTTAGAGAAGCTTATGGGGCCTCAGGACACTGCCCGCTGCTCTCCGGTAAGTCTGGGGTAATGGGAAGGTTGGGGTAAAGCTCAGGGTTTGGTCTGCCGCCTATCGGAGGCCCTAGCCTGGCTCCTGTCACTGTCACCAGAACTGCCCTGGCTGGTCTGTCTGGTGCTGATGGGATAAGAAAAGAATGGGGAGGGGGCAAGAGCTGGGTTTGTCTTCTCCTGGGAGGGGCTTGAATGGGGAGCCCCAGAAGGTTGGCCAGGGTTATCAAGGAAAAATGGCTAGGTTCGGTGTCATAAACTCTGATTTGTCTTTCTCTCCTTCCTAGGGCCTTTCCTGCCACCTCTGGGGTGAGTAGCCCTACTTTTAGAAAGAAAAGAACTGCTCAGGGTGGCAGAAGGGAGGGGAGATGTTCCAATTCCCTGCCCTGACCACCCACCCCTAACCCAGGAAGAACCCAAAGCTTCTTGGCCCTCTGGGGGTGTCAGGTGCAACTAAACTCTGGATTATGAACAGCTTTAGCTCCCCCTGACCCTTGATGCACAGATGGTGACGTGCTCTGCCTGCCCGGGAGCATCGTGTCTGCCCCGGGCCCTGTGCTGGTGCCCACACGCCTGCAGACAGAGCTGGTGCTGAGGTGCCACCAGGAGACTGACTGTGACCTCTGTGTGCGTGTGGCCATCCACCTGGCTGTGCATGGTGAGCATTTCATCCCCTAGCTGTATGTGCACACGTCAGCATGTCTGGGATGGGCACAAGGCTTGGGGAGTCTGCCAAGCAGTCCTGTGCATCCTCAGTGTTGACCTGGAGAACACCGGCCAAAGGACCCCCAGGTCAGCCTGATCTCCCTGTCTCCCTCACCCCACCCCCAGCCTCAGGCCTGGCCCTTGCTTCTCAGCACTGGGCCTTCAGGAGGGAAGCCAAGCCCAATGCCAGCCCAGAGCCTGGGCCTGACCCGGGCCTTGTTCTTGGGTGGTTCCAGGGCACTGGGAAGAACCTAAAGATGAGGACAGGTCTGGAAGAGCCGCTGATCTGGAGCTCGAGGAGCCTAGGAACGGTGAGGGCAATCTGGCTGGCCCAACCCCCCCTAGCCAGGGCCTGGCCGGAGGCCCTGGAGCCTGATCAGTGCCCCACTCCATTGCTCACAGCCTTTCTCCAGGCCCAGGTGGTGCTCTCCTTCCAGGCCTACCCTACCGCCCGCTGCGTCCTGCTGGAGGTGCAAGTGCCTGCTGCCCTCGTGCAGCCTGGTCAGTCTGTGGTATGCAAAATCCTAATCCTAGCAATAGCCATCTTCTCAATATGGCGTCTCTGAAGTGCTCTTGTGTGTGTGTTATCTCTGTGCGCTGACTCTGGCAGGGCTGTGCACAAGACCTTTCAGCCCTTTATGCCTCTATTTTCCTGTCTGTAAAATGGGAATAAGAATAGTCCTACCTCATGCGGCTGTTGTGAGAAAAAGATGAGTTGGTATGTGTAAAACACCTCGTGTAATGCCCAGCACTGAAGGATCTCAGGAGAGTTAATTCTCCCTTTCTTCTGTAATTCTCAGAAGTACACATGAACTAGGTATTATTATTACCCTCATTTTCCAGAGAGAGAAACTGAGATTGGAGAGGGGAAGTCTGTGCTCTGGATCTACTTCTCTGGACTTTCTATACCATGTCTGCCCTGTGTGTAGACCATGGTGCAGGGTGTTGGGGTTTCTCCCCACTTCAGGAGGCCACGTGTGTTTGGAAGATGTAGCTCCACTTGGGCCAAATCACTCAAACCCTTTGACTTCCCCTCCTGCCTGCAGCTCCCAGCCAATATCCTCTTGCCTGGAAAATTGTAGAATGGGAGAGAATCTGCTGGCCTACCTCGATGGGCAGTTGTGAGGACCATTGAGGCATTGGGTGTGGGAAGGGGTGTCTCACATTTGCGTTGGCATATCTGATCACCTTAGCTTTGGCCATGGGATGGGGGACAGCAGGGGTGGGAGCAGGGACTCAAATAGCCCTTATCCCTGCCCTGCTGACACCCTTACTGAGGGTGTGTGCTTTAGAACTGGGGGCCTTTAAAGGAAACACTAATGGGAGAATTTCGGGCCCTACAGTATAGAGTCATTGGTTGGGGGAGGAGGCAAGTGGAATGGTCCCCAGAGGAGCTCAGAGCCCTTGGCCTGTATTCTGAGCCCTATACCACCAGCCTTCCACCACCCCTCTCCTCACAGGGCTCTGTAGTATTTGACTGCTTCGAGGCTGCTCTGGGGGCTGAGGTGCGACTCTGGTCCTACACTCAGCCCAGGTACCAGAAGGAACTCAACCTCACACAGCAGTTGCCTGGTAAGTGGCTCCAGAGCCTCAGGGGCCCCAAGTCCTGTCCCCCTGGTCTCTTTCCCCTCCGGCTACTACCATTCTGCTTTCACTCCCTTCCTAGTCCCATCCACTCAAAGGCAGGGGTCTGAGCTCCCATCTTCCCCAGAGTCTGTCTTGTCTCCTCTCCCCAGGTGATATTGCTTCCCAGTGCCTGAAAAGGGTGCTTTGGGCACTGGATAGATGGGATGGTATTTAAGGGACAAGGAGCCCTTCCCGGTGCTCCCCATGGGTTGGATTGCCCCCCTTTTTTCTTTGGCCCCCAGCCCCACTGGAGGCTTTTCTGTGATCTCTCCCCAGACTGCAAGGGGCTTGAAGTCCAGGACAGCATCCAGAGCTGCTGGGGTACGGGCTATGGCCAGCAGGGCTGGAAGGAGGGAGGGGCAGGGTCTGGAGTATGAGGAACGCTTGGAGGTGGCTTCAGGTCTGGGTTTGCCACAATCCAGATGCTCGTAGCTCATTCATTCATCACACATGAACTGCAGTAGCTCCTACTCTGTGCCAGGCATTGGGAATATGAAGGTGAATCTCTCACTCTTTATAACAAATTCATTTATTAGTACCAGGGACATCTAGAGGCCCAAAGCATTGTCAAGATATTGGTACACCCCACTACCACCATATACCAAAATACAAATAATATTAATCCATAAAATAAGGGCTAGGAAGGTCAAGGTTCTGATGATTTTTCCCAGGCAATGTTTGAATTTTATTTTCACTTTGTTCATTTTTTCATATTGTATTTTTTTTACTGTGGTTTAATACACATATAGAAAAGTGTGTAAAGTGCACTAATTTTAAGGTCCAGTTCAGTTAATTTTTACATATGTATACACTTGTATAACTATCACCCAGATCAAGATATAAACAGTGATATTTTTGAACCCTTAAATTTTTTCTTTTTTTTTAAAGATTTCATTTATTTGTCAGAGAGAGAAAGAACTCAAGCAGGGGGAGCAGCAGGCAGAGGGAGAAGTAGGCAGAGCGGGAACCTGACCTGGGACTCGATTCCAGGACCCTAGGATCATGACCTCAGCCCAAGGCAGAGCCCCAACCAACTGAGCCATCCAAGTGCCCTGAACTCTTAAATATTTTCAATTTTATTTCCTTTTCGGTTCCTTAAGTTTGGGCCTGCCTCTTTGGTAATTCATTAGAGACTACTCAGCACTGGAGCTTTGAGGACACAGATACACATCATGCATTTCATGTCTTCATTCATTCAGTAGACACTGTTCACTTTTTCAACAGGTATTTATTGAGTAACTACTCTGCCCAAGGAATAGTCCTAGGCACTTGAGATTAGTCAACAAACAACTGACAAAAACCCTTGCCTTACAGAGCTGATATTCTAGATGGGAGTCAGGGTCAGCATAGGGGTGATGGAGGATACAATAAACACATGGAGATGTGAACTATGCAATAAGATGTGATTAGTGCTATGAAAAAAATTGGGGGAAGGGGAAGGAGTAGAAGGGATTTGGGAGTTTGCAGAAGTCAGGAATGGCTTCACTCTGGTGAGCAAACACCTGAAGGAGGTATGGGAGGAGCCCTGTGGGTATCTGAGGGAAAAGTGTTCCATATGCAGAGGGAACAGCCAGTGCAAAGGGCCTGAGGCAGGAGTGTGTCTGGTGTGTTTAAGTATTAGCAAAGAGGGCAGTGTGTCCGCAACAATTAAGGGCAAGAGTGCTAGGAAATGAGGATAGAGTGGGTAAGGTCTTGCAGGCCATTGTAAGGACTCTGCCTTTTACTCTGAGAGTAACCAGGGAGGGGTCATCAGAAGGTTCTGAGCAGGGGAAGATGGTTTATCTTACAGTGGTTATAGGATCCTCCTGGCTGCAGAGGGAGAAGAGTTGGGTCAGGATACTGGGCTGGCTGCTAGGGACAAAGTCTGGTCAGAGATGAGGACACAGGCTCTGCCGTCCAGGGGCCTTCCAGTCTCAGGGATATGAAGGAAACTAAAGGATCAGTTGGAGGGGTATGGCCAGGGGTGGGTATGCAGAAGAGATGAAGGAAGTCTCTCTCTCTTCACCTTGCCCGCAGCCCTGCCCTGGCTCAGTGTGTCTGCCGATGGCGATGATGTGCACCTCGTGCTGGACGTCTCTGAGGAGCAGCACTTTGGCCTCTCCCTGTACTGGAACCAGGTCCAGGGCCCTACAAAACCATGGTGGCACAGCAACCTGGTGAGGCCTCCCCTTCCCCAAGTCCATTCCCACTCTAGGCTGATGCCCAGGCTAAGGATGCGAGCGCATTATCAAAGGAGACCCTTGAGGAAGATATAGCGACCCATGCCCCAAGCAAGGAACATTGGTGGGGTAACTGCTGCCTGCCTGGTTTCCTCAGCTTTGGCTTCCAGTCTTCCTCCTCCTCATCTTCTCCAACTTCTCATCTTCTGCTTGTCCACAGACTGGGCCACAGAACATTACCTTGAACCACACAGACCTGTTTCCCTGCCTTTGTATTCAGGTAAGAGAAGAGTCTGGCTAGCTGCCAGGGCAAGGGGATTGAGGAATTGAGAAGGGGGGTGGCCCTTACCTTTCTTGTCTTGCCCTCCTCTGTATTCCTCTTTGGGGTGGGAACTGTTGCTCCCTAAAGTGACTAGCCCTTTCCTGACGTTTGCTGTCCTGTCTTCTGCCTGTTGCAGGCTCTGAATGCTCTTCTTGATCCTCTGTCCACAGGACTCCTACTCATTCTTCATGGCCCCATTCAAATGTCACCTCCTTCTTGAAGCCTTTCCCCACTCCTCCAATTGCCTCTTTGTACTCCTCTGGAAAGTAGAGTATATGCTGTGAACTCAGACAGTTTGAATACTGACTCTTGCCATTTGCTAGCTATGTGACCTTGTACAAGTCACTTCACCTCTCTGAGCCTGTTTCTTATCTGTAAAATGGGAATAACAATACCAGCCTCATAGAACTGTTACAAAAGGAAGTATCCAAGCTTCTATATGTTGGCTCTTTCCTCTTCTTTTTTTTTTTAAGATTTTATTTATTTATTTGATGGGCAGAAATCACAAGTAGGCAGAGAGGCAGGCAGAGAGAGAGGAGGAAGCAGGCTCCCCGCTGAGGCAGAGAGCCAGATGTGGGGTTTGATCCCAGGACCCGGATATCATGACCTGAGCCAAAGGCAGAGGCTTTAACCCACTGAGCCACCCAGGCACCCCTTCTTTTTTTTTTTAAGATTTTATTTTTAAGTAATCTCTACAACCAATGTGGGGCTCAAAGTTAACAACCTTGAGGTCAAGAGTCACATGTTCTACCAACTGAGCCAGCCAGACACCCCTCTTTCCTCTTCTGATTGCACATTTAAATGATGATCAGGTCCCATCTATTTTATCTCTGACATCAATGCCTGTTATTTCCACTGCCTGAAATGCCCTCATTTCTTTTCTATACAGCCATATCCTTCCAGCTCAGGTATTACCTCTTTCCCAAAGCTTTTCCTCAACTGTCTGGCCTCTCCTGCCTTCCAAACTTCTTACATTTCTGTCTTTTCTTGTTCATTTATCACTTCCTTTCTTATTTGGGCACCTGTCTCCTTTTTTCTTGCACACAACAGATGCTCAATAAATGAGTCATCAGTTTATTAATTTATACACATGTTTTATCTTTACTAAAACTGTGACTTTGTAATTTCCTGAAGGCAAGGAAATAATACCTAATTCAAATTTAGTAACTCCCCCAGAGCCTTGTGCAATGCCTGGCATGTAATGGGTGCTAATTAAGTCTGTTAAAGGAATGAATGAATAAATGAATGAAACTCTACTAACTAGCACTGTGATAGAACACATAACAGATGTTCATGAAATGTTTGCTGTGATATAAACACCTTTACTGTCAAGCACAATGCCTGCCACATAGTAGGTGGTCTTAATTAAAAGTTTGCTGAATAAATTAATGTACTATCTCTACTGCTTACTATAGGGCTAAGCACAGAATAAATGTGCTTTAAAAGCTTTTTGAAAGAAATGGGGTGCTTGGCAGGTTCAGTTGATAGAGCATGTGACTCTTGATCTCAGGGTCATGAGTTTGAGCCCAACACTGCGTAGAGTTTACTTAAAACAATATACATAGGGGCGCCTGGGTGGCTCAGTGGGTTGAAGCCTCTGCCTTCGGCTCGGGTCATGATCCTGGGGTCCTGTAATCGAGCCCCACGTCGGGCTCTGTGCTCAGCGGCGAGCCTGCTTCCCTTCCTCTCTGTCTGCTTGTGATCTCTGTCAAATAAATAAATAAAATCCTTTAAAAAATCTTTTAAAAATATACATATATTTGTTATATATAGTATATATTACATATTTTATATATTATATAATATACAATTATATAATGTTTAGAAATATATATTACAGAATATAAATATGTGGATATATATCTATATATTCATATATTTATATTATATATTATGTAAATATATAATAGAATATAATATATTTATATTATATATAATATATAATTATATAATATAATGATCATATGTGATATTTAATAATATATAAATATATACTGTCTATATTATATAAGACAGTATATATTGTTATATAATAAAAATATATGTGTAATATACTATATATATTATGTATAATATATATAATATATATGTGACACAGGACAAATAAATTTATATATATTAATATATGTTAACACTTAGCACAGTACCTGGCATATAGTAGGTTCACACACAGTGATTGGATTTCATTATCAACATCCCTAGTGCCAACCATGGTGCTAAGACACAGAGTAGGTCTTCATTAAAAATCTGTTGAATGAAGGTATTGCCAGATACTGGTATAGGGTCTGCTGGAAGAATCAATGCATGCAACACTAGGGCTTTACAGAGAGCAAAAAGACTGGGCAAGTGTTGATGAAATATTAGTTGAATGAATGCATCCCAGTGCTTGGCAGAGGGCCTGGCACATACTCTTGGAGGGCAGCTGGGTTGAATGGACTAATAGCACCCTGTTTCTTTTCCAGGTGTGGCCGCTAGAGCCCGACTCTGTCAGGACGAGCCTCTGCCCCTTTAAGGAGGGTGAGAAGACCAGGGCTGGGGTCAGGGTGGGAAGGGTACAGGTGGACGCATGCTGGGTGCCCAGTGACGCAGCCCTCTTCTTGCAGACCCCCGGGCACACCGGAACCTCTGGCGTGCAGCCCGGCTGCGGCTACTGTCCCCCCGGGGCTGGCAGCTAAATGCACCCTGCTTGCTGCTTGCTGAGGCCACTCTGTGTTGGCAGGCACCAGGCGGGGGTCCCTGCCTGTCGCTGGTCCCACCGCTGTCCCGAGAAAATGTCACTGTAAATGTAAGTGAAGCCGTGGGAGGCTCCTGGGATCAAGAAATGACAGGGAGCTTAGGGGGCCTATTTCCTGACCTCACCCATTACCCTTTTCCCACAGAAGACACTTGAGTTGCCATTGCTGAATGCCCACCCCAACCTCTGTGTTCAGGTAAGAAGGGCACAAGAGTTCTGGGCTAGGGGGGGACCCCAAGTGGACCCCACCAGATAATTCACTCTCTTCTGGACCCACTTTATCTCTTGGGTCATGGGAGCAAAGTTGTTTTGGGCTACCTCTGGGAGTTGTACTGTTTATTTAGCAGTACTATGGGACTCTGAGCAAGTCACTTCACCACTCTGAACATCAGTCTCCTAATCTGTTTAATGGGGATGATAATAACTACTTCACAGTAGTGAATAAAACCAATCAATGTTCCCACCCTATAGAACTTATTTTCTAATGGAGAAAGAGAGGGATGCAGGGGTGGCTTAGTTGGTTGAGCGTCTGCCTTCAGCTCAGGTCATGATCCCAGGGTTCTGGGATGAGTCCTGCATCAGGCTCCTTGCTCAGCAGGGAGCCTGCTTCTCCCTCTGCCTGCTGCTCCCCCTGCTTGTGCTTGCTTTCTCTCTGACAAATAAAATCTTAAAAAAAAATAATGGAGGAAGACACAGACTGAATGAATAATACAATATACAAGTGGAGTGGTCAGATGAGGCCTCTTGGTGAAGGTGGTTAGATGAGAAGGGAACGTAGAAAGTGCTTTATCAGACATGAAAAGAACTAATTTAGGGTCATAAGGCTCTTTAGCACAGATGCCCTCGCAAGGCTGTGGCTGAGAAAAATAAAGTATCTCTTAATCACCCATTCTTGAATTCTGATCTGGTTAACATTAGGTCCAGGATGCAGATCCCCTACTCCAACCAAACAGAACTCCCCTTACTGTCCTTCTCTTCTGTTCTTTGCGGCCTTGCCTCTTGCTTTTCCTTGTGGCCCTAACCTTGGCCCCTTCTAAGCAGGTGAGCAGCTGGGAGAAGCTGCAGCTACAGGATTGCTTGTGGGCTGGTGAGTGGAGCTTGGGAAAGGCTGGGGCAGGGCCATTGCAATAGAGGTGAACCCTGGAAGTGCCACCTCATGGGGGTGAAGATCAGGCATGGGAAGGGGTGGGGGCAAGTGGCAGCCTCCAGCATGCTTGGGTCTTGCTCAGAGTGGGCTCTCACCCCTTCCAGATTCCCTCGGGGCCCTCAAGGATGATATGCTGCTGCTAGAGACACGTGGTCCCCAGGACAACAGATCGCTCTGTGCCTTGGAACCCAGTGGCTGCACCCCACTGCTCAGCCGGGCCTCCACGGTGAGGACGAGGGGGTCCTCCTCCATGTACCTTTCCAGTCCATCTCAAGCCTGGCCTCAGATTTTCACTGCATGCAATTTCCCCTCCTTTGTACCAGCCCCTGCACTGCTCTCTGGGAATGTGGAGGTGACTCAGACCTAGGCCCTGTTCTTAGTGACCTCTTAGAAGTCTCCAGCCACTCCCCTCCCCCCAACTATTCTGCAAGCTGCAGCTTGGTGGTCTCCTAAGTATGATGCCCCTAGGTGACAACCTCCCTTTGGTTTGGCAGAGGGCAGCTCGCCTCGGAGAGCAGTTACTACAGGACCTGCAGTCAGGCCAGTGTCTGCAGGTGAGTGGGTGGCAGGAGGGCCCTGCCCCAGTGCCCAAGGCCAATAGGTCTAAAACTCTGTATTTAACTTCTTCCATCTCTTCCTGTGCCTAGCAGAGGGTACCAGGGAAACTCTCACTCCTCCTAGACAGGGGCCTCTTCACTGTCCCTCTGGTACCCACTCACCATCTATTTCTGCTTATTTTGTGTCCAGCCCTGGGGAAGCCAAGAATTGAAGAAGCATAGCTGCTGTTCCCAAGTTGCTCACTGCTGGCTAGAAAACAGTACACAGATAACCAAATTTATATGCACTAAGCATTGGGTTCCAGGGAGAGCGTCAAGAAAGGGTGATTTCACGTGGGCCAGTTCCGGCATGGAGTAGGCACAGCATGAACAAAGGCAGAGCAGCTTGCGGGGACCTACTGTGTGTGTGTGTGTGTGTGTGTGTGTGTGTGTGTGTGTGTGTGTGAAGTATGCATAGCTGAGGCTGGGAATTTGGAGATCAGGCTGGCCAGAACTTGGTGGGTGTTCTGGGCTGTGGCCTTGGTTTTGTTTGTGTCTTGCAGCTCTGGGAAGATGACCTGAGAGCACTATGGGCCTGCCCCATGGACAAGTGTGAGTATTACAAAATCTGCCCTTCCCCTCCACCAACGGCTGGAATCTAGACATTTTTAGGGAGCTCATGCAATGGCCTTGTCCTTCCCTGGACAGACGGACATTCCTTCCTTCATTCAAAAACAAAAAAGAAAGCTTACAGGGATTCAAGCATCACCAAAAAGACACAGTCCCTGCCCCCACCACAGCCATAGAAGGCTAGAAAGACCTTAGCTAAATAATTGCTTTCATTTAGTAAATGTGAGCTATTGAAGCATTTACTTATAAAGTGTCCAGACCCATAAATGCATGTATTGGGAAACTGACTTAGGTGGGATGAGGCCAGGAAAAGGTTCTGGCTGTTCTGAAGGCTGAGCTAGTTAAAGGGGGGAGAGATGCTTTTTTGAGGAACTCCAAGGTAGCCAGTGTGGCTGGAGGGTCTTGGAAGGCAGACCTCTATCACAAGGATTCAAGTGTCATCTAGGGCCTTGATGGGAGGAATTAGATTTTTTTTTTTTATTTTTAAAGAGTGGGTAGGGGCAGAGAGAAAATCTTAAGCAGACTCCTCACCTTGATCTCACAACCCTGAGATCATGACCTGAGCCAAAACCAAGAGTAATAAAACCCTTAACCAACTGAGTCACCCAGGTGCCCCCTAGGAAATTGGATTTTATGTTAAGAGCAATGGGAGCCTCCTGAAAGGCTATAATCAAATTTGTATTTTAAAAAGATTTCTGGGGCTGCCATGTAGTGAAGGACTTAGAAGCAAAAAAGAGGTTTAAGGGGACGCCTGGGTGGCTCAGTTGGTTAAGTAGCTGCCTTCGGCTCAGGTCATGATCCCAGTGTCCTGGGATAGAGTCCCACATCGGGCTCCTTGCTTGTCAGGGAGCCTGTTTCTCCCTCTGCCTCTGCCTGCCATTCTGTCTGCCTGTGCTCGCTCTCCCTCTCTCTCTCTGACAAATAAATAAATAAAATCTTTAAAAAAAAAAAAGAGGTTTAGGGACACCAGTTAGAAGGCTTTTGGAGTCATCAAGAGAGTGAGGTCAAGGGCCCAGCAACCCTATGCTTAGGAGACAATATTAGCTGACGTTTGAGCACTTGCTAGGCCCAGCCTAAGTGCTTTGTGTGTATTAATATTTGTAGTCTTCAAACAACCCTAGTAAGTAGGTACTTGTTGTGAGCCCAGTTTTACAGAGGTAAAAACTGAGGCCAAAGATTAAGTGACTTATCTGAGGTCACTCAAGTAGATGGATCTATGTCCATATGTTGACTCTGACACTATATGCGGTGGATTTGCGGCAGATCTTTCCATTCCCCTGAGCCAGTTCAGTCACCACATGGCAGCCCCAGAGATCTTTTAAACGAGTTTTTCTCCTTCGTGAAGTAGGGTGAAAGTGTTAGGTATCTAACTAGCCTGTCCTCTCCCCTGGGTCTCCTAGACGTTCACCAGCGCTGGGCCCTGGTGTGGCTGGCCTGCCTACTCTTGGCCTCTGCACTTTTCCTTCTCTTCCTTGTCAAAAAGAACCAAGTGAAAGGTAAGCACTTCCCGACCCACCACTCCCCAAGGGCAGGGCTGGGAGTTCCCCCTCAAGAGGGTGGCGGCTGAGCTCATGGGCTGCCCCCGCCCCTCTCCCCTAACAGGGTGGCTGAGGCTCTTGAAGGAGGACCTCCGCGCGGGGGGTGAGTGTGAGCAAGTGCCGTGCGGGGGGCCGCCCTCAGGGGGCCGGGCCTCGGGCCTTCTCACGTCTTCCTTTCCCCTCTATTCTCTCCCGCAGCTGTCGCCAGGGGCCGCGCGGCTCTGCTCCTCTACTCAGTGGAGGACTCTGGTTTCGAGCGCCTGGTGGGCGCCCTGGCCTCAGCGCTCTGCCAGCTGCCCCTGCGGGTGGCCGTGGACCTCTGGAGCCGTCGTGAACTGAGCGCGCAGGGCCCCCTGGCCTGGTTCCACGCACAGCGGCGCCAGACCCTTCAGGAAGGGGGCGTGGTGGTCCTGCTCTTCTCGCCGGGGGCCGTGGCACTATGCCACGAGTGGCTGCAGGACGGGGCGTCAGGGTCCGCCCCGCACGGCCCGCACGACGCCTTTGCCGCCTCGCTCAGCTGCGTGCTGCCCGACTTCCTGCAGGGCCGGGCGCCAGGCCGCTACGTGGGGGCCTACTTCGACGGACTGCTCCACTCGGAGGCCGTGCCCGCTCTTTTCCGCAGCGTACCCGTCTTCTCCCTGCCCTCGCAGCTGCCCGACTTCCTGGGGATCCTGCAGGGGCCTGGCACCCCCCGTCCTGGGCGGCTCGGGGAGAGGGCGAAGCGAGTGTCCCGAGCCCTGCAGCCTGCCCTGGACCAGCTGCTTCAGTCTCCCGGGGATCCCGGAGATCCCGAGGACTGCACGCAGGTTGGCACGTGAGGCAGGGGCGACGGCTCGAATAAAGGCAGACGCTATTTTTCTACCGGTGTCTCCCGCCTGTGTCCGTGACAGCCTAGCGGGCCTAGCACGACGCCCGCGGCCCTTTAACACCCGGACAGGTGCAGCCTGGCACGGCCTGCGGGTGGCTGACGTGAGGTGACGCAATGGCACATGGACTGCCACCATTGGCTGAGGGTGGGCCCTGCTCCGCCCCCCAGGCTGCGGAGCCGGCGGAGGCCGCACGTCTTACGCCGGCCGCGGCTGCTGCGGCGTTGGGGAGATTGAGCTGTCGGCGCCAACGGGCTGGGTGGGTCATCTCTTCCTCCCACGCAGCCTGTGCGGGTCTGGATCCTCCCCTGCCTGCTAGAGGCCGCGCCTTTGCAGCCTGCGGGCCCGCAAACCTGACCCCCTTCTCTTCATATCCGGATATGGGCTCCACCCCCCTAGACCTGGGTTCCGTTCCGGACTCCTCCCTCCCCGCCCCCCCCACCGAGACCGCCCATCCCGCCTCTACTACCCTAATACTTGGACTCTGACCCATTCTCCCAAATTCCGCTGATCCTGGCCCTAATAACAATCCATATTCAGACCTTAAAACAATGAGATGACTTCTCCCTTGCTAAGGATTCAGACCACCTCTCCCACGGTGACGAGGATAACTTACTCCCGTCTTGGAACTGCTGAACAGGCTCCTTTCTCACCACTTCCCCTCCCCCGGTTGTCCCCCTAGTCTAGCCTCCTATTAATAACACAGATCCGGGCTCCCAGACCCGCGGCACCTCCGAACCAACCCTTTTTTTCTCACTTGACTCCTCCAGTGAGTCATTCCCATTCCCTCTTATCTACAGGATCCCGGCCTGGGAAAAGATGGCCTCACTGCCCCGGAGGGGCCTGGTCCCACCTCTACTCTGGGGCCTGAGTCTCTTCCTTAGGCTCCCAGGTCCCGTCTGGCTCCAGCCCTCTCCACCTCCCCAGTCTTCTCCCCCAACTGAGCTCCATCCATGTCATACCTGCCGGGGACTGGTCGACAGCTTCAACAAGGTGGGTGCCCGAGCAGCCTTGTGGGAGATGGCCTAACCATGATAGCACAGGGGTTAAGAAGAGTTCTGGGATGCAAGTCTGCATGAGTCAAGTACCAGCTTGGTTGCTTACTAGTTGTATGACCTTGGGCAGGTTGCCTCTCTGTGCCTCAGTGCCCTGGGCAGTGAAACACAGAAGTGCTAGGATGTGCCAGGCACTGTACTTAGCTATTACTAATGTTCTCTGTTTCCAGGGCCTGGAGAGAACAATCCGGGATAACTTTGGAGGTGGAAATACTGCCTGGGAGGAAGAGAAATTGTCCAAATACAAAGACAGGTAAGGGGCTGGAGAGGTGGGTTTATATACCTCACCTCCCAATCTTGGCTCTACTGGTGGGGGCCTTGAAACTCTTGAGACTCAAATATCACTGACCATCTCTAGTACAGCAGTAAATAAGGCAAACAAAATCCCATCTGCAAGGTGCTTAAATTCCAGTTGAAGAGACAGTGAATAAGTAAATAAATAATGTCGTATCAAATGAAGAACAGGAAGACTACGGAAGGGTGGGAGGCATGGAGTTCAAGGTGTGACATTTGAACCGAAACCTGAAGCGAAGAAGCAAGCTATGTGACAGGGAAGGGATTTGGACAGAGTGGGACTGAGCTTGGTGTATTTGAGAAGAGGCTGGATGGGAGTGCGCAGACGAGAGTGATCGAACGTGAAGCCAGGGTGCCTTGAAGGTCACAGAATGGTGTTTAGATTTCGTTCTGAGTGTAATGGGAAGTCATTGGAAAGTTTGGAGGTGAGAGGTGATGTCTTGTTTTTACCTTTAAAAGATCACTCACTGCGATGTAGCAAAACGACTGTAGGGACTGGAGTGGAGGAAGCACGGAGACCATTTGGGAGGCTAGTCTAAGTACGACAGCAGCATGAGCTGGTGTGGTCCAGTTCTGGGTATATTTTGCAGATGGATTGATAGGGCTTGATGATGGAATCATTATGGGGTAGGAGAGAAAAAGAATAAAAAGTACTTATAGGTTTAGGGCCTGAGCAACTGGGTGAATAGTGGGGCTGTTTTCTGGTATGGGTAAATGTGAAGCAGGAGAGGATATAATATAGGGAAGGGGTGGGATTAGGTGTCCTTGAACATATTGGGCTGGGATGTCCCTTAAACAGCCAAATAGAGTTAGATTGAGGCATCTGAGGTTCAGGGGAAAAGTAGGAGCTGGAAACCTGAATTGGGGGGGTTATCAGCATATAGTCAGTATTATAAAGCCATTGGATGACATGAGACCATGAGACAAAAGGCCTGAGTGCTAGGCCCTCCCACTCTTCAAAGTCAAGTTAAGAAGGAATCAGCAAGACTTGGAGTTAGACAGATCTGGTTGTCAGTTCTGACCCTGTGTACCCTTGAGAAGGTCACTTAACCCCTCTGAGCCTCAGTTTCTTCATCAATAAAATGGGGACATTGATACTTGGTTTGCCTATTTCATAGGATTGTGGTAAGGATTAAACTGTGATGCCCACTAGAAACAAAAGATTTTGTTATTATGTAACATTGGTCATTTTCCTTTCCCTTAATGGGCCTCAGTTTCCTCATTTAGGAGTGAGGGGATCGGCCAAGATAACCTGAAGGACACTTCTAGCTGTATACTGGCTCCTGTTTTTTGTTTGTTTGGTTTTTGTTTTTTAAGTCCTCTCCTCCTATATGCCAGGCACATGCCAGACCCTTTAAATACAGAATATATGTGTGTATGTGTATATATGTATTTTTAAAAAATTTATTGGGGTAAAAAATATATATACATATATATAAATATATAAATAAATAATATAATATATAATTATATAATATATTCTTATATATTATATATAATATAACATATATAAATATATATATATAATGTAAAATTTGCCACTAGAGACATTTAGTACATGTACAGTGTTTTGCAACCTTTACCACTATCTCGTTCCAGAGCATTTTTATCAACACACAATGGAACTCCATACCTATGAAGCAGTCACTCCCCATTCTCCCCTTCCCCCAGCCCCTGGCAACCATTACTCTGCTATCTGTGTGGATTTGCTGATTTTACTGGAATCTATATGTGTCTGGCTTCTTTCAGTTAGTGTATTGTTTTCAAGGTTTGTTCATAATATATTAACATATTAACAAATGTCAATAGTTCATTCCTTTTTAAAGCTTAATAATATTTCATTGTATGGCTTTACCACATTTTGCTTACCCATTCTTCAGTTGATGAACATCTGGATTGTTTCTACCTTTTGGCTATTGTATATAGAATTGCTACAGATGTTTGTGTACAGGTTTTTGTTTGAACACCTATTTTCCATTCTTTAACCAGGAGTGGAATTACTGATTTTTGGGGTAATTCCATGTTTAACTGAACTGCCAAACTGTTTTCCACAGTGACTGCACCATTTTTCTTTCCCACCTTCAATGTAGGAGGCTTCCAATTTCTCCACAGCCTTGCCAACACTTGTTATGTGATGTATTTTTAATCACATATACCCAGTAAGGGTATTACATTTCATTGCGCAAATGCAGGAACTGAGGCATCTTACAACACATCTGCAGGATGGGTTATTGTCTCCATTTTACAGATGAGAAAGCAGAGGTTTGGGAGAGGTTAAGTGACTTGCCCAAGGTTACTCAACTGGATTCAAACCCAGGTCTATATGACTCCCCAACTGAGTACCCTTTCCGTTATACCCTCTGGCCTTTCCTTTGGTGTCATGGCACAAGCTGGGTGGGAGAGGAGACCTTAAGGAGGGTGGTGGATGGGGTAGAACATAGTCCTGCCACCCCCACCCTGTCCGGGCAGTGAGACCCGCCTGGTAGAGGTGCTTGAGAGCGTGTGCAGCAAGTCGGACTTTGAGTGCCACCGCCTACTGGAGCTGAGTGAGGAGCTGGTGGAGAGCTGGTGGTTTCACAAGTGAGTTGTTGGGGGCCTTCCCAGGGAGGGGGCCACAGGTAGGGCCTGGTGATAGAGGACGGGGTTGCATGCTTGGGTCTGTGTCCTGGTTTGGCTCTTTCTTCCAAACCTAGATCTGCTAAAGACACGGTTGGGGGTACCCAGGTTCTCACTGTGAGCTTCAGTTTACTCCTCTGCCAAATAGGGAGAGGGTGTTGGTCAGGTAGCCTTGTGGGTCTTATACCCGAGGTGGGTAGTAGCACAGATATTTGGGGAGGCTGGTGGGTGGGCAGCACCTCTGGCACTGTCTCAGCCCCCCTTACTTTCATCCCCACCCCAACCCCTTCAGGCAGCAGGAAGCCCCGGACCTCTTCCAATGGCTCTGCTCAGATTCCCTGAAGCTCTGCTGCCCGTCAGGCACCTTCGGGCCCTCCTGCCTTCGTGAGTTTTCAAGCTCTTCTTGGGGGATAAGCGGGCATTGCCAAAGCCAGGGATCCAGTCCTGGTTCTGTCCCATAGCTCGCTGTGTAAGCTCAGGTTGCTCAGATAATTCCTCTGGACCTTAGGTTCTCCTCTGCCTCACAGGGCTGTTGAGATGAGCAGATCAGTGGGGAATGGCTGTGAGAAAAAGGTAATAGGGCTAGACAGTCCGATGGGGCTGTGGTTTTTCTCATGTGCATGAGAAGTGCCCTCACCCACACCCCCATTTCCTATGCCTGGATCAGATCAGACCCATCCCCTGAACTAAGGTGACCTAGGGACAGGCAGGTGCTGCACCGAAGCCCCCATTTTCACCTTTTTCTACACACAGTCCTGAGGGAGGAGCTGTACATACCACCAGCCCCTTTTAGAAAAATCTCTCTGGAAGCTTCAGATAAAGACTTAGTAACCCGAAGAATAAAAAATAAATAGATTGAAAACAAACAAAAAGGGGAGTTAGTGACAAAGATGATTAATTCAGTCTTTATAAAAGGAAAGATTTGTAAGTAATCTGTTCTACAGGAGGGTATTGGTTAAGTACATGTCCCATGAGGTATTATGTGGCCCTGAAAATTAAGTTTCTTCCCCAAAAATGTTTAATGATATGGGGGAATATTCTCTGTGTTCACGATTGTATTTGTGATGTTACCTGGTTTGGTGTCTGCCCACAGCCTGTCCTGGGGGCACAGAGAAGCCCTGCGGTGGCTACGGGCAGTGTGAAGGGGAAGGGACTCGAGGGGGCAGCGGGCGCTGTGACTGCCAAGCCGGCTACGGGGGCGAGGCCTGTGGCCAGTGTGGCCTTGGCTACTTTGAGGCAGAGCGCAACGCCAGCCATCTGGTATGTTCGGGTAGGTAGCCAAGAGGCATGGGGCTGGGCAGGAACCGATGGGGTGCCTGCCTGCCCATCCTCACACTTTCTCCGTTCCCCCCAGCTTGTTTTGGCCCCTGTGCTCGCTGCTCAGGCCCTGAGGAATCAAACTGCCTCCAGTGCAAGAAGGGCTGGGCCCTGCATCACCTTAAGTGTGTAGGTGAGTGAGGCCCTGCCCTCGGTGTGGGAAGGTGGTCCCCATCAACATGCACATCTCTGGGCTAGACCAATACAGTCCCCATCTTCATGGAGATCTCAACCTGGTTGGAAAGGCAGAAGAGTAACCAGGCAGTTAGAGTATAGACGGATCTCTGTGCTGTTAGAGATGTCCCTGAGCCAGCTCTGTGCTGGGGGGGCAATCAGGAAAGGCTTCTTGGAGGAGGTACCACTTAGGCCAAGTCTTGAAAATTGAGAAAGGATTAGCCAGGGAAATGAAATACTTAACTTGGGGTCAGGAAGCCTGGGTTCAAGACTTGGTTTGGTCTCTGTCCTGCTATTTATGTAGATGAGGGTAAAGGCTAAGCTGCTATAACAGAAAGATCACCAAAGACTGTGGCTTAAAGAATATAGAGTTTTATTTTTATCTCTATCACAGTCTCAAAACAAGTGGTCCAGGCCAGGCAGGGAAGTTCTGCTTGTCACAATCATTCTGGGACCTAGTACTGCCTGTCTTACTGTGTGGTCATCCCCTTGGGACGGTTCTGTTGTTCGAGGTTGGGTGACAGGTACCTCCGTGTTCCATGACCCGACACTCAGGAAGTGAGAATGGGAAGAAAGTGCACGGAGGAGTCCAATTCTGTCATTTTAAGGCCAAGCTAAAAGTGGGGCACATCACTCCTGTTTACATCCTGTTGGCCAGAACTCAGTTTCAGGCCACGCTTAGCTTCGAGGCAGATTGGAAAACCCAGTCTCTGGCTGGGCAGCCCTGAGTCCCACTGCACCTGTGCCTCTGGCACACGGCCTGCGGTCTCTGGCCCACCATCTGAGTGGGGGCAGGTCTGTTCCTCAACAACCCTGGCCTCGGCTTCCCTGCTAGTGCAGTAGGGACTGAAATTCCCGCCCTGCCGGCCTCTCTGCAGACATTGACGAGTGTGGCACAGAGCGAACCAGCTGTGGAGCCAACCAGTTCTGTGTGAACACAGAGGGCTCCTATGAGTGCCGAGGTAAGTGCCAGTCCCCGAGTGGAGGGTGGTGGGGAAGGTAGGAGGACCTGCTCCATGCCTTTCCCCCTAATTTCTTCAGGAGTGGGACTTCCCCCTCCATAATCCACCCTGGGCCTAAGGGCAGCTCTCACTCATCTGTCCTCTCGCCTCTCCAGACTGTGCCAAGGCCTGCCTGGGCTGCATGGGGGCGGGCCCGGGCCGCTGTAAGAAGTGTAGCCCTGGCTACCAGCAGGTGGGCTCCAAGTGTCTCGGTGAGTCTCCTGCTACTGGGGCACAGACGCCGTGGAGTGCTTTGTCCACCATGAATTGAGAACGGCTGGGGGGATATGGACAGGGCAGGAGAAGGAAGGATGGAATGTTGTTTGGGCAAGGGCAGAGGGGAGTGTCTGGATGTGTGTGAGATGGGAGTCAGGGTTGCTGTATGTGGGACTCTGGCAGTGGGGGCCTGACCCTGTCACCCTCCCTTAAGATGTGGACGAATGCGAGACAGAGGTGTGTCCAGGAGAGAACCAGCAGTGCGAGAACACCGAGGGAAGCTATCGCTGTGTCTGTGCCGAGGGCTACAAACAGATCGAGGGCATCTGTGTGAAGGAGCAGATCCCAGGTGAGCCTCCTAGTGGCCCCCAGAAACCTGAGGAGGGGAGGTGCTCATCCAGGGGAAGGACAGGCAAGACCCTTTTCCAGGCACCCACAGGCCCTGCCCCATGCCCCTGGGCACTGCCCACATGAGGCTGCACTGAGACTCAAACCCTACATCTTCTCTTCAGGCTGACTTCTAGCCATCTCACACCTCCCAGGGTAGAAAGAAAATCACACTTGGTGTCAAATCACTCTGCCTCCATTCTCATCTGTCCAATGGGACCAATTCTTGCCTGGGGCTGCTGAGAGCTGTTGCAGGCTGTAGGTGTGATGAGGTGAAGGACAGTCACACTGATGACAATAGGGACCACTTGCACAGCTCTGGCTGTGTGTCAGATGCTGTCCCGAGCATGTGGCATGTATTAATTTATTTTGCTTCTAAAACAAATCCAGTGCTGTTGGTATTATTCTCATCCCCATTTTACACAGTGGAAACTAGGATGCAGAGATGAAATAACTTGCCCAGGGCCACGTGACAAGCAGATCACAGAGACAGGAGTCAAAGCCAGGCAGTCCGGCTCTGGAGCTGGGCTAGTACACATGCTGTGTCCTGATGTGTCTACCACATGGCCTTGGGCAAACCTCTTTACCTCTCTGAGCCTTAGTTTCCCACTCAGTGAGATAGGGACAACGACTGCCCTGTCAGAGTTGTTCTCAGTGGCAAATGACATCGTTTGCCAGGCAGGCAGGCATGCGGCAGCAGTGATGCGGTGTGTGGGGAGCTCCAGGAACAGGGGAGGAGTAACAGGTGCATCTCTTCTCTTCAGAGTCAGCAGGCTTCTTCTCAGAGATGACAGAGGATGAGCTGGTGGTGCTGCAGCAGATGTTCTTCGGGGTCATCATCTGTGCGCTGGCTACACTGGCCGCCAAGGGCGACTTGGTCTTTACCGCCATCTTCATCGGGGCTGTGGCGGCCATGACCGGCTACTGGTTGTCAGAGCGCAGTGACCGCGTGCTGGAGGGTTTCATCAAGGGCAGATAATCTCTGCCACACCTGCAGGATTTCTTCCCATCCAGGCTGTCCCCAGAGGTCAGCCTCTCTCCTGCCTGGACACTTGAGGCAGCTTGCTTTATTTCTGAGTGGGGTAAGCACCCTCTATCCACCAGGCCTGGGCAGGTGAGGCTCTTGGAGTGAAAAAGTAGCTCTGAATATGGATGCCATGAGATCTTGGCCTGGGGGAGCTGGGCAGGCTTCACATGTGTGAATTTTTTAAAAAGTATCTCTTTGTGGTGACTGCTAATGGGCTTTGGCCCCTGCTTAGGATGAGGGGGGGGGGGGGTTCTCTGCGGGGGGGGGCCCATCACAGCCCCCTCCTGCCAGCTGCATGCTGCCGGTTCCTCTTCCGTACTCACCCCCCTGCCCTTCAGCCACTGATTATTTATTCATCTCAGGAAATAAAGGTCTTGGAAAGTAGAGAAGCTTCAGTCTCATCACCTGCCTCCTACTCCCCATGGGTTGGCCTGAGCTACTGAGAGCCCCCAGCCCTTGGGGAAATATTCTAAAACCCTAGGAAATTGAGGGTTACCCTGATGGAGGAGCAGTAGAGGGAGGATCAAGAGGCTTCGACCTAAGTAGTGTTAGGAGTCAGAGGGGTGGAGGAACCAGGCTTTGGAGTGGAACTTCCTGGGTTCAGTGCCAGCTCTCATTTGCCAAAAGACCCTGGACAAATTACTTTTTCTCTGAACTTCCCTCTTCCCATCTGTAAAATGGGCATGATAGTGCTTTCCACTCAGGCTTAATATGAGAAGTAAGATGATGGATATGAAGAGCTGGAGACAGTGCACAACAGACAATAGGTTCTACAAATTATTGGCAGCCATTATTCCTAAAGCCTCTGTTGGAAGAATCAAGTGCCCTTTCCTTTTTAAGTCCTCTCCTCCCCAACATACACAGGACTTGGGACTGCTGGGAGGTGGGGACTGCTACCTCCTCTCTGAACAGGATCCTGGCATGGCCAGAGGGAGGCATAAGCCAACTCCTAAGGGTTTATTTCTTTGGCACAAAGAGGACAGTCAGTCTGGACAAGCAAGCCTCATCTCTCCACACTGGGGAGTCTGGAGGGGTGTCTGGGGGTAACTGGACCCCATATCCCACACCCAAATCCATGCATGTCCACCCTGTATTCCGCGTAAGTCACAGCCTCTGTGCAAAATACCCGTTGGAAAAAAAAAAAAATTAAAAAACAAACCAAAAAAAACGGGGGTAGGTTCATGCCCGGCTGTTTTCAAGTGACTGTCAGGTGGTAGCCCGGGAATGCCAGTTTTTCAAATGTTCAGCTGTCCCAATGGGCCATGCCCTATGGCCATCGAGGGTGGGGCCCTGGTCCTGCATTCCTCAACCCCTCAGAGCTCAATGGTGTCACTGGAGGCGCTGCGGGAGTCCCCAGGCTTGCTGCGAGGTTGGACCTCACTCTGAGGTTCCCCGGGCCGGTCGGGGGGTGGGGCTGGGGCTGGGGCAGGCAATAGCTGCACGGTGCTGGGCAGCTCATCCAGGGGCAGACTGTCCACCGATGACAGCCCGTGACGCCACGGGTTCCAGCTGATCTTGAGCGAGCCCCGGGAAAAGCTGTCCATGGAGCTGCGAGAGGGCGCCTGGTCAGGGTCGTCCGCGACGTGCGGTGGGACCGGGCCGCGCACGCGCACGTCGCTGAGAGACCGGCAGCGGCCCCGCATAAGAGAAAAGCCCGCACCGTCGAGCTCGGCGTCGGGGTGACTGCCCCGCCGCGACCGCAGCGCGCCCCCAGGCGGCGAGGAGGCCAGGCCGCGCAGGCCACAGCGCCGGAAGACGCTGTCTCGCACCAGGTGCTCTCGAAAGAGCGCGGCGTCGATGCTGCGGCTCAGGTTGATGGGCGATGGCGGCCGCAGATCCAGCTCGCTCATCGACGGCGCCGGCCCCACGCTGTTGCGGGATAGTCCCGGGCCACCCTGCGGGCCGCGGCCCAAAGACGCAGCCGAGCCCCAGGCGCCTGAACTGGGCGTGGCGGGCGGCCCGCCCTCCGCCGGGTTGCGGATGAGACTCTTGCTGATGTCCAAGCTGCCTGCGCCGACGCCACTGGGCCCTGCATAGCAGTTGTTGGGTCGCTCAGGCACCTCGCTCTTGCCTGAGGGCGTGGGGCACGCCAGGCGTAGCAACTTAGCCCAGCAAGCGTGCTCCGTGGGCGGCCGGGGCCGTGCGGCGGCCACAGCAGCCAGCGCCAGGGCCAGGGCCCAGGTCAGCTCCAGCAGGCGCAGCCAGAAGTGGACACCCCACCAGGCCCACGAAAAGCGACCCACCCTGCCTGGGCCTGGGTATAGCCAGAGCGCGGCCGCCAGCTGCAAGCCACTGGCCAGCAGCCCCAGCGCGCCGGCCACGGCCAGCAGCCGCGGGCCTGGGCTGGCATCCCAGCCCCGAGGCCCGTCCAGCAGGCGGCGACGGCAAAGGCAGAGCGTGCCCAAAGACACGGTCGCGCCCCAGGCGCACGACAAGCCCTGAGCCAGGAGGTTGAGCGCAGGCCGCACCGACAACAAGTCAGTAGTCAGCAACCCCACGCCGTGCACCAACGCCAGCGCTCCCAGCAGGAGCGGGTTCTGCAGCTGCTGGGGCAGCCCCACGCCTAGACCGAGCAGGGTCAGGGCCGCCAGCGCAGTGAGCAGCAAGGGGAAGGGCAGGTTGTAGAGTACCAGGCCGGCGCGTAAGCCCAGCCGTGCCTGAGAGCCGTAAGGGTCGGCGAGCATGTAGGCAGATCGAAGCCCGGATGCTACCAGCACGAGCACCGCTGCAACCAGAGCCAGCCGGGGCCCCGCAGGGGCGGCTGCCAGGGAGGCCAGTGCCAACAATGCGGGCAAGAGGAAGAGCACCCCCACCCCATAGACGTGCAGCTCCCAGGAAAAGCTCAGCACCCGCCGGAGGGGACCCCAGCGCAGAGGAGGTGCGGTAGCATTGGCGGGGGGGCTGGTGGCTGGGGCTGATGGTACGGAGCTGGCTGAGGGCTCCGGAGGGGGTGGCTGGCCCAGGGCGCGCTGCGTGGTGACCCGAATGAGGCCCCGGCGTGACGTTGAGGGGGCCTGGACTGGGGGTGCTGGGGGATGGCTTTGGGGGCGCCCCGGCCACTCCTCGGCTTCATCTGAAATAACAATATCAAAATAGCCCTTTGAAAAGTGCTTTTTGATTTTCCACATTCTCTAGTGTGGTAGGCAAGTTATTTAACTTTTCTAAGCACATCTATAAAATGGGGATGGTAATAGCACCTACCTCATTGGGGTGTGGGCAGTATTAAGGGTTTAGCATAGTGCCCAACACCCAATAATGTTAAATGATGTGACCTATTGCTTTTACTAATAAAATACCAGCAGTTCTCAGCATTGGCTGCCCATTAGAATCACCTGGAGACCAAGTGAATCAGATTTCCTTGCATGGGGCCTGGGTATTGGAATGTTTAAAAATCTCCACTGTTTTGCAGTAGTTGGAGAAACTGCACTAAATATATCCAAGTCACATTTAAGAATATTCTAGCCCCCAAAGGACAAATGACTTGTCCCAGAGTACCCAATGAGCATTAGTTTATTATCCTGAGTTTTTTGAAGGAGGTCCTGGTCAGTTCCTTTAAGCAGGTGTTCGTGCCCATTCACTCCTCCCAGATACCTCACACAGGTTTTTAGTTATTAGACAGAGTACCCACTCCCTCCCAGAGCCCTAGCCATACCCTCACCTGGCTGCAGGGCCCCCACAGGGCTCTCTGTTCGATTTGTAGCTGGGCCGGGGTCCAAGGGGCCAGGAATGAGGGACTTGGGGGTACCTGGGGTCTCCAATGCTCCTCTCACCCGCTGGGGGGAGATGGGGTCTGCTCCATTCATTGCCGCTATCTCTGAAATAACAAAAGCAGTCATCACTTTGTCTGACCTTCCAGCAGTCCCCGAAGTCTGAGCCCCCAAAAGGGAGGCACAATCACTCTCATTTGGCAGAATAAGGAAAATGGTACCGAGAGGGACCAGAGGTCACACAGAAACTTGGCCATCCAGCTACCCTGGAACACTGCCCCCTCCCAGCACTGCTCAGCACCCTCAGTTTGATACCCACCTGGCTTAGGCTGCCCATCAGGTGTCTCTGTGGTAGGGGGACCTGAGGGCTGGGGTCTTGGTGAGCCCCTAACATCAGGAAGATCAGCCTGTTTGGGCGAGGGACTTGAAAGCCTGACTTCCCAGGTCTCTTCACCTCCAGTCTTCTTGGGGAGCTCCACTGGCAGCCCCTCAGCAGGAGGAAGGCTTTTGGCCAATACCAGGTCTGGCTGGGACCCAGGCTCCTGAGAGGACACCACCTCAGCTGGGGATACCAAGCCAACATGAGGGAGTTCAGGATCCTGTTGGGTGAAGAGGGGCCCTCGAGCTGCCTCCTGGAAGTCCTCACCACCTCCCTGTTCTTCTAGGACTGGCCTCCTGGTAGTGACCAAGTGGGGAGCAAGAGTGTGCGGAGGGCCCTGGTGGTCTAAGGGGGACATTTCTGAGATGCTGATCTTGGCTTTGTCCACCAGACCCTCATCTCTAGGTGGTCGTTGCTCCACTTGGCCTCCAGGCTCCTCTGGTTCTGTGGAGGGAAGAACTGTGGCTATCCCAAGTTGGAGTCTGGGAGTTATGGGGATGAAAGTGAGATGGGGGAGGCCTACTGGATGGGGAGCTGGTGCTTCTTGCTCTATAGGCTTCTGTGAGTCAGGCAGTCCTGTCCAGCCATGAGAACTTGACCCTCGAGCCATCTGGAGGTCATCAGTTACTGGGAGTCCTTCTCTCTGAGCCCTGTGGAATGCTTTAGGTCCATGCAAGGCTGGGCCAAGGGGAGAGTCTGCTGGCTTCTCGGGTACTTCCTCAGCAGGGGCATGGGGAACATTGGAGTTCCAGGGGCCCTCATCTCTGGACTTTTCCCAGAGGAAGTCGAGGGCCTGGGGCTCTGTGCCTGTAGGGCCCTGGGGGTGGTTTCCTGGGATCAGATGTGGTTCCGAGTCCTCAAGTGGCTTGGGAAGGCCCCGGCCCAGAGCAGGGCCAGCCCCCAGGGACAGCAGCAGCAACAGCAGCAGGGGGCCATATCCACGGCCCCATGGGCTGGGAGCCATGGTCCACTCTGATGCCTGGGCCTAGAACACTCAACTTCCAGTCCTCCCTGGATGAGCCTAAAAAAAGAAGGGGGATGACATGTGAACACTGGGAGTGCCCATAGCTGCCCCAAGAAGGATGGTGGGAAAGAAAGGAGACACAGAAAAGCTCCCCCTTCCCCGGCCCCTTCGT